CTCTGGTTTCATTTAAAAGAGTCGATCATCAGATATTGTCCAAGATTAACCTTCAGGGTGGATATAGCTCGCTCACACCGAGGACCTATCCATGTCATCATTTACCCAGAATACTTTGTGTGTAAATAAAATGGCCCCGTCCGTATAATATATTTTTAAACTTTTAGTTTAAAAATTTACAAAACTAAACAGCCTACAGTATTTTTACAGTCTTAATTTTGCAGTTAAAATAAATGTTTAGCAAATAAAGTCTAATGTTACAACTAATCGTGGGTCCCTTTAAACTTGTCATTGCCAAACAAAAGAGAATTCAACTAATATGTGACAAATATGACACAAAACATTTTTTAACAGCTGAACATTCTGGCTTTGTAAAGAATAATGATAAACAATATTCTTAGCAATCAGACTCCATCTTAACTGAAGGAGAATGCATTTGATTTCAGTTAAAGTAAACATAAGGATCACCTTCTTCTCCAATCTTTTACTGGATGTAAACACTATTTCATCATTTACTGAGGAAACTGCTGCTTATTGTGATCTTAAAGTTGTCGTTAGAGTAACAGTTCAGATATTTTAAAGTGGGGTTCTGTGGAAAGGTTGCAACCAAAAAATATCTGACCTGTTGTAAATAGATAGTTGAACAAATTCAGTTTAGAGAGAGTTTAGACATGACCAAATCGAGGAAACGGTACAAGAGGGGACAAAACCAACCATTATAAAATGATTCCAAGTTTAAAAAAATTCACAACAGTTCATGGGAAGCCATTTTTTTTAATCTGATGTTGTTCATTTTACGTTAAAATGTTATTTACATCTGTGATGTACCTCGCCTCTCACACATTGAGATAAATGGTAAATGGACTGTACTTGTATAGTGCCTTACTATCCAGCCAGGATATTCAAAAAGCTTCACACTACAATCTGTGTCCTCATTTACCCATTCACACAGCACTCTAACAGATCTTTACAAAGCTAACGCACAATCATCTATGGAGACTAATCAGTGCCAGTCACATTCATACACTGATGGGACACACATCAGAGGCATTAGGGGTTAAGTGTCTTGCGCAAGGACACAGCGGCTGAGACAGCTGGAACGGGGAATCGAACCGGCAACTCCCAGGACTACTCCCCTAACCGCCCCTGTAGAAAAGCACCAGCTCCCTGTGGACCCAGAAAGGAAAAAGCAGGTACAGAAAAAGGCTGGATGGAGACTTCCGTAGATGTCTTCATTTATTTGCAAGCCTAACTATGAACAGCAGCAGCTAGCTGTAGTGCTTTCTAGTCAATCTGAGACACTTCCAGCAGGAATACCACAATTATGGCAGAATAACAGTATGATGGGAAACAGACGGTAAAGTTATAGTGAACCGTATTTGCATGAACCACTTTAGATCTGAGTTGTTTGTGAACTCAACAATCTCCAGCAGGTGAGATATCAACTGATCACAAACAGGCTTTTAGGTGGGATTTTGGAAGAAGGCATTGAAACTTTAAGCCAATTCAAAAGCTTATGGAAGTTTATGACATTTACATAAGTAAAAAGATAGTTATAAACCAACTGGGAATGGAGATCGACTTTGTCCGGCGTCAGGGGCTGTGTCCTTCGAAGGACCCCCATCTACACCCCGTGAACATCTCTTGGCGAATTCAAAGATCAGCATGGTGGCCTGAGACGTCGCCGGCTGAAAGAAGGCGTCAGGAAACCTAATGCCCCAGCACCCGTTTCTCTAAACTCCTGATCACAAACTTTCTGCAGAACTTCACTTTAAAACATGTGAACTGTTCTTTAAAGACGACACGATACTGCCGAGTTATTAGTGCAGGTTTTGTTTTGTAAATGGGATAATAAAAATGTGTTTTTGACTTAAGTTATTATTATTTTTCTATTTGATTTAGT